CTCTGTGATGGATACGGCGTGGCCGGAACTTATTGGCCCGTCTCTGCAGAAATAAGAGATTCTTTCAAACTCAGTTTCAGAAAGTTGCTGGTTCTGTCCAAAGTTGTACTTCTGACATAGCTTATGAGCCATTAACATTTACCTGAATAACACGTGTGTCACATAGATAGACACATTGGGGACAGGTCATTAGGGCTGGGCCATTGGGTTGGGGCTTGGATTGGATTTTGAAAGGTTTTCACTTATTACTGAATAGCTTAGAAAAATATGTGAACGTTGTTAACAGCTACATAATCACCGCCGTTCTCAGCGAATGTAACCCATTGAATGCGGAATCCAACGCCAGCACATTTTTTCCCATCAACGGGCATGCTTGTCGCACAGCACCTAGAAGCACCATGGAACGAGTGAAGGATACTGCCCTACTTGTTGCACCTAAACACAAACTGCAAGAGATGTCTTCTTTGCTATCCATCATCATACACACCCTATGGCTTCCATGCAGTGTGCATGAACAATTAAGGTAATCAAACAGTGTGCATTGGCATGGTGTGACGAGTGACGACGTTTCAAACTTCCACAGGAAAGCAGAATATCCTAAATCGCTACCCTGCATATCTGTCCTTGAATGACTAGGTAGGGACCTCCAAAGGTGTCACTAACAAAGCTATAGGGGGACAACATGACCCGCGCCCACTATATAACGCATATGGGTAATGGTTCTCAGCCTGTGTTGGGATATCACTTGGACTGATCCAGTAACAAAACGTAGAAAGAGTTCAAATGAGAACTTTTATTACTACAAGGACGGGCCAATATGTTCCAGGCCACGCCGTATCCATCTTATAGAAATGAACTTACAGCTGCCAGCTAAGGCAGGAGCTAATGATGTGAGCACCACATCTAAATAACACTACCAATCAATCCCCTGGCTTTACATCCGCAGGCGCAACGACGTCGCGATAAACCGGAAAACACCAGCCTTGCCGCTGCTCCTCGAATTGAAGCTTTTAGCCTCATTGGAGTTCGGCGACATACAGGAGCAAACTTCAGCAGAAACGTCGAACTCTGAGAGGTCATCGTCATGCATATGGCTGTCAGCGAGCGACGTCAGATGCAGCGACTGCTGTTGCGTCTCAACTACTGCGAGAGCCGCGCTGCGGATTCTCAACCTTGCCGCGTCAATCCAGATCGGACTGCATGCCAGTTCGGCTTCCCGGCATGCTGACTCGCTTTCGCTGCTGTTGTAGTCGAATGAATCGCGGAAATAAGGAACATCACTCGTGGAAACAGTTGCATTGCATGCTCCATCCTCCAGGTCGCAACAGACGCGGCTGAACATCTCCAGAGCGAATTCAGAGACGGGTGAGGAGGGGAAGCTTTCGAAGTCAACGGTATAAACCATGCTGACGATTCTTTAAGAGAGTAATTAGAGCAAGAGGTTACTGTAAAAAGGGTCGTAATCCTGCTGCTATGCGTAGACGTTGCTTGAATGAGTTGCTGAGATTTGTGAAATGTATCTGTGGGACCCTCAGCTATATTTCGCAGCGTTCGGTCACTGGAAATGAGGGGATCACTGAAATGACTCAGATTCGAGGCGAGAGGGAAGGAGGAGCAAGCGTCATGAGACGGGGGTGGGGTGGAAGCTTCCTTCGGCGTGCAAGCTGGCTGCCTGGCGTGCGAATAGGGTTGCATCGGTGGAGAATCATGCGTCTCAGGCCCCATTGCTTTTCGTCGCTCCCGTAGGGGCTTTCACGTGAGCCGACGATGAGAGGGACCCGATGGTCCCAGCTGCCATTGGGACTGATGCCAACTGCCTCGCGTGGTTGGGGATTTCGCAATCATCACTTCACAAGGGTGGCTTTCACGCTTTTCTCCGACTCAGCCAAGAACGACCACAGAAAGGCCTTCCCGCCATGCGGGAAAGGTCATGTCAGTGCATGCCCGATGCCGGAAACAGATGGATAGAAATATATAGAGTATGTTTTCTTTTCACATGCAGCTGTGGAAACGATTGAACCCATCTTTGAATAAGGTAATCACTCGAGAATGTACAGCTAAGACACCAAGGATATGTTTTGCGGTTTGAGCTGAACTGCCCGGAGCCGAGGCACTAGCATTTTTTCCAAAAAGCGCATCAACCATTGCAGTGAGGACCAGGTGCACACACAGCACCACAAGAGTCAAGTGCCCTTGTACCATCTCGTCATGATGGCTTCACAAGGTAGACAGTTTCCCGCGCAGTGACATTAATGACCGATAAACGGAACTCCACTTGCTCCCGTTCCATTACACGCACACTCGCTAGCATCCCAGATTTCTAATGTGACGGTTTCTGATATTTTTAAAGAGTTGCTGTTCGCTACACAGGAAGAGTCATTGCGGTTATTGTAGGGACGCTTAGGCAATGAAATGTTGCATGAGGGAAATTAGGGTAATAAAAAAATCAACATTTGCTTCAGTTTGGTTGTATTGTGCTACTACTGGTAACAGACAGTAATGAATAACACAGTCAAATACTCATACTAGAGATGCACCCAACGATTGAGAAGCCTACTTGTTGCGACCAGTATCTCTCTCATCAACTTTACCATTTCCTGCAAGCGATCGTTCATACAGTGCTTGCACCAGCAGCGCGGAGAACACAAGCCCACTAGCAGCCACCTGCAGCCACTCCTTGGGTTCATGCGTGACCGCCTGCACTAGAGAGAGCCCTGATATAGCCACAAGGGCAGCATACACCTTGCGACGAAACGGCGATGCAGCCGCCCTTTGATTCGCTGAGAACAGCTCTGGTACTGCCTTCAGTGCTTGCTCCTTGCGAGAGAGCGCCGCATTGGACGAGGGCAGCGATTGCACAGATCGCGAGGACGAAGCCGAAGGGGGTGTTTGAGTGCGGGGCTGCAGCGATGGTGAAGATGACGAGGAGTCATCCGACGAATCAAATCCCCTCGTGCCTCGGCTTGCAGGTTCTGAGCCGCGTGAACCAGCGGCAGCAGCAGGAGGCGAGGACTCGGAGGGTCGGCGGTAGAGCTGCTTGAAGAAGAGCAGCGAGTTGCGCCTCTCCTCCACGGACTTTTCAAACTCGTCAAACTCGCGCTCGCTGCGCTCCATGTCTGCCCGCGCTGCTGCCAGCTGCTGCTCAAACTCGTCTGCCTCTGCATCCACCTGCTGCAGCACCTGAATGGAAAAGGAGGGGGTGAGAAAAACACGCACCGGGGGTTGAAGAGTGCAGGAACCTCACGTTTTCCAATCCCAGGTTAAATGAGATGAAACCATGTGTATGCATCTAAAGCAACTGTCACTCGAGATTGACTGTAGGGCACACACGTTGGTGATCTACAGGTTGGCTGGAAAAAGATGGGGGAATGCGGTGGACCGGTGACAGAGAGGTTGGAACACACTTGTGCTCGCTTCACCTTGCTACTCGCCTCACCTTGCTGCTCGCCTCACCTTGCTGCTCGCCTCACCTTGCTGCTCGCCTCACCTTGCTGCTCGCCTCACCTTGCTGCTTGCCTCTTCCATGCCCCGCTTCGCCTCTTCGGCAATCCTCGCATACTCTGCTGATGCTGACTCAGCAATCCCCGTCAGCAGCTGCGTCCTCTCCTCCACAAAGGACTCCACGCGTACCTGAAGCACATTAGGGTCAGAGGGACAGGGAATGCAGGATCAGGGATCAGGGTGAGAAGATGAAGCGATCAAGGCGAGAAGATGAGAAGGTAGGGGTGAGAAGATCAGGAATCAGGTTGAGAAGTTCAAAGGAGCAAGGCGGGAAGATCAGGGGATCAAGTGAGGTATAAGCCTTTGCGTGTGATGAGAAGACTCTGGTAGAGTGAAGGGTTCAGGTGGGTGCAGCGGATAGAGGGAGCGCTGAAGGAACTGATAGAAGCAGGGAAAGGAGAACACAAGCACCAAGGATGCAGCGCATCGTTCAATGAGAAGCAGCACTGCGCACAATGTGACCACACGGTGAGCACAAGCTGAGCACAATGTGAGCGCACACAATGTGACCACACGCGCCTTATCGGATTGCAGCTGCATCATGTCCGCCAACAGCTGCTGCATCTCCGCGTCTCCCGCTGCCCCGCCATTCCCGTTCCCCTCCTTCTTCTCGCTACCGTCGCCACTCCGATCGTTCTTCCCCTGACCGCCTTCGCTCGCTCCATCACTCCGCGAGCTCGCGGAAACGCGCCATCGGCGAGAAACTATCAAAGCTGGCCGGGAAGATGCGAGGCTGCTTGCGACGCCGTTGAACACGGTGGCATCTGTGATAGGTGCGAAGCTAAATCTGGTGGCTCTGCTCGTGACGTAGTCTAGCCTCGCACTACAGACCGGCGACCGCGCTTCGGGAAGCCTTGGAAGGAGGGGTGCGTGTCGTTGACGGGTGAGCGTAGCACGCGCGGCGGGAGCAGAGAGGTGCGCCACTCGATGAGCAGCCATGATTTGCGGGTGGGGTGTGAAAAACGAGGCGGTGGTCATGTAGTTTCCACAGCCCCCAAGGGTATTGGGCCAGGAGATTGAAAGGACATACGCAGGATTGAGTGAAGTGTAGCTCAAAATGTTCATACGGTCTGATATCGTGCTTGCAGGTAGTAAGACTACCAAAAGCGTGCGGTGAGCGTGGATCGAACACGCGACCTTCAGATCTTCAGTCTGACGCTCTCCCAACTGAGCTATCCCCGCATGTTAGACGTCCAAAGAGTTAAATTAGAGTTTAAATTTCTGGGTTCGTCGGCCCTAGTTGTCTTTGTACTTCTTTTCGGAGTTCCTCCCTCGTTTTATAACTCTCCGTCCCCATCGTTCTCCGCACTCAAATCAGTCGTCGCGGCCATGCCACGGTATGCTCCACCGTGCTCTCCTAGTTAGGGTTGGGATCTCGAGGGTCAGACCAACCCTTTTAGGGTTGGGTTAAGTAAAAAATAATTAATTCGAGGTGACGAATTTTTTTTCCCACCGTCACCGATGCCCTGTTTTTTTTTTTCGAATCGTTTTTTTCCGCGATGCCGTTATCCGCGCTGGCGTCAACCGCGCTGAGAGCTCGCGTACGGTCGCGCTTATTTGAATCCCAGAGCCTCCTGGGTCATGCCTTTCCCTTCTGCGTTTCTCTCCCCTCCCCCCCTCGTTTTCCTTCATTCCCATTACTAGTTCGCCCCTGACTAGTCTGTGCTCTCTCCCGCCCCTTCCTTCCCTCCCTCCCGGTGTTCTCTTCTTTCGACCGTGTCGTCTTGAACCGCAGATACTATTGCGATTATTGCGACACGTACTTAACTCACGACTCGGTAAGAATCACGCGCGTGATTTGTGGCCCTCTTTCCTTCTCCCAGCCCTCCTCCTATCTTGTCCTCAGTTCCCCTTTTTCTTATCTCCTCTTCCTCCTTCCCATCCGCTCCGCTTCTTCGCATCCCCTTCCCTTCTTCCCATCCCTTCCCCTTCTTCCCATCCACTCCCCTTCTTCTCATCCCCCCTTATTCTTCCCATCCCATCCCCTCCCCTTCTTCCCACCCCCTCTTATTCTTCCCATCTCCCCTTCTTCCAATCTCCTCCCCTTCTTCCCATCCCCTCCCCTTCTTCCCATCCCATCCCTCCCGTTATTCCGTTCCCCTCTCCTTCTTCCCATCCCTTCCCCTCCTTCTCATCCCCTCCCCTTCTTCCATTCCTCTCCCCTTCTCCCCATCCCTTGCCCTCCTCCCCATCCTCCCCCTTCCTCCCACCTTCTCCCCTTCGTCCCATCCCCTTTCCCGACTCCAATCTCCCAGTGTACACCATCCGCACACCTGATCACCCCTTTCTTTCCTTCCCCATCGTTCTCCACCTCCTCGCTTGCCGCCTATCGTCCACCCCTTCTCGCACCCGCCACTGCACGTATTTCATCAGTCTATCTCCACTCCCCAACGCCTGCTGGCACGCTGTCTTCTCTGCACTCTCCTGCACCCCCCGTGCGCTTCCCTAGCACCCCCTTTCACTCTCCTTTTTGCTCCTTCCGCTCCACGTGCACTCTTCAGTCTCTCCCCTGCGACTCCTGATGTTCGCCTTGCGTTCCCCAGTCCCTCCCCTTGCACCCCACCAATCTCTCCCCCCTGTGCGCTCACCGATCCCTCCCCGTGTCACAGCCGTCTGTGAGGAAACAGCACAATGCCGGATACAAGCACAAGGTGAGGGATACAAGCACAAGGTGAGGGATACAAGCACAAGGTGAGGGATACAAGCACAAGGTGAGGGATACAAGCACAAGGTGAGGGATGGGTTTACTGATAGTATTTACACGCAGCACGCAGTGCACATGGTGGCAGCACAGCGTGCGTGATGCTCGTAGAAGGAGTGGCATGTGATGTGAGCATGACGGCAAATTAGAGAAGATTTTTGCGAGCAAGGACGCGGCGAATCACAAGCGTAGATGGCGGCCGCATGCATGCTCATGAAGATCCACGTGGCACACTCACGATTCTCTGCTCTCAACTGTATTTCCGTTCTTGCACTCGTCTGCTCTCACGTGGGTTCCTTCCCTGTGGCTTCACACACACACTAACCGACTCACCCACATGCACTCCTGCTCGTCAATTGCCCCTTCCACTCCCTAACCTTCTTCTTTCACAGTCCAACCGCCACTGCCCACCCGTCCTCCCCCTCCCCCCACCCCCCCAGGCGAACGTGCGCACGTACAACCAGCAGTACTAGGAGGAGCCCACGCAACGCAATCCCTCATCGACCACCAGCCCCTCCGTTTCCTTCCTTCCTTCTCTCCCCTCCCCTCTCTCCCTCCCTATATCACACTTCGTCCTCCTCCTCCCCTCCTTACCAGGCCAACGTGCGCACGTACAGCCAGCAGTATGAGGAGGAGCAAACACAGTCCCTCATAGACCAGCGCATTTGGGACCATCTGGGTTCCATCCCCATCGGCTCTCGCCTCCCCATCGGCTCCGGCCTCCCCATCGGCTCTCGCCTTCACATCGGCTCTTCCTCTCCCCTCTTCTCTATCTCCCCACCCCTGTTTCCTCCTAAATTTTCCTCCCCTTCCACTGTTCATTGCCCCTGCCCACCCCTCCCCCCCCCTCCCCCCCTCCTTACCAGGCCAACGTGCGCACGTACTACCAGCAGTATGAGGAGGAGCAAACGCAATCCCTCATAGACCAGCGAATCCGCGACCACCTCGGCTCCGTCCCCATCGGCTCCGGCCTTCCCATCGGCGCCGCCGCCGCAGCAGCAGCAGCCGGAGGCGGGGCCGCCCCCGGAGGGTTCCCGCAGCAGCTGCTGCGGCCAGGCATGCCCCCCATGGGCCTCCCTGGCATGCCGGGTATGCCGGGGATGCCGTTTGGCATGCCGGGTGGTGCAGGGCGGGGGGCGGTGCTGCCGCTGCCGGGGCAGTTCTTTGGTGCGTCGGGCATGCGGCCGCCCATGGGTGGCATGGTGCTCATGCGCCCCTCCAGATGACCCTGCCTGCCGCGCTGCTGCTCCCTGGGCCATGCAGGGATGGCTGGTGTTGGGGGGAGGGGGGTGGAGGGAGGGGAAGGGAGGGAATGGGAGGGGAGGGAGGGGGGGATGGGAGGTTAGGGTGGGGAGGGAGAGGAAAGAGTGTAGGGAGGGGATGGCTAGGTGGAAGGGAGGTGGAGGGGGGATAGGAGGGAGAGTAGCGTGTCCTGTGCTTTAGTTGGTCGGTCAGCTAAGTCTTGGGTGCTACGAGGCTGGGTCGTTGATGCTGCTGTGACTGCAACCATGCAAGGGATGCTGCTGGTGATAAATACAGGGTGAAGGAGGGGTACTTGGTAGATGGGGAGGAGTTGGCTTGGGGAGGGGGGGGGAGGGGGGGGGGGGAGGGGAGAGGGAAGCATGAGGATGTGTCTGGGACAACCGACGCCACATACAGGTGTAAGGGCTGGGTAACAGCTGTGCTGTGTGCATCTGTCTATCAGCTTGTTATGTTCTCCAGTACAGTACAATAGCAGTACGATTCAATGGTGCCAGAATGCATGCAGCATTCCATCAAAGCACTGCTGTGCCCTACATTTGTACCGTTGCAGACTCACATGAGTGACCACGAATATCTGTGGTCCAAGAGAGTGTCTGTTGCTGTGATTCCTACCTGTAGTTTCCTGACCTGACCTTCCAGCTACACATCTACAATCTGGATTCTTGCCTTCATGTGTGTGGTCTAGCCTTTCTACACACCCTTGTATCACTCTGCTTTGCTGCTCTACTCCAAACTTATGGCTTTAATCAGCCCAACACTAGTTTCATCATGAGCTGGCAGCGGTTGGTGCAAAGCGTTGCGCTGGCATGGCATGGCATGTTACCAAACCAAACGTAGTAAACCCAGCGAGCAGCAGCAGCAGCCCCCTCAAGCCTGTGTTCAGTTCAGGTGAGGAACTATGGGTGGGTTTCACAACACGTGTGTTACGATCCTGACCAGCAGAACGCGCTGAGCTGACATGGTACCATATTTGCTCTCAGGCGTTGTTTGTTTGGTACCGGTAGTATCATCAGATGGCTAGGAGGGTGCTTCCACAAGCGGAAGCTGTCATACGGGCCGCGGGGTTTTCTTGTAGCAACGCCCAACACCAACACCCTTTCAACTCCAACAAATTACAGCACCTGCAACAGGAGCAAGGTGGTAGGGGTGTAATTTGTGATTCAGCTCTCTGCGACCAGTTTTTCATTCTATTTTCAGGGAGTTCACCTACGGTAGATTCAAGGAATTCGAAGATTTGAATTCATTATCCAACCAGCGTCCATACAAACATCATCAACCCTGTTTATTCCTACACACATGCCTTAACCCTCGCACCATCACCTACCAGCACGTCTCTTCCCTTCCCCTTCCCATCCCGACCACAGTCAGGCCTCTCCGCTCCAACCCCCCTATCACCGCCCTCCTCCCTAAACAAACCCCCGCCCTGCACGTAACCACGTGCTGGGAACAACCGCATGTGTGTGAGAGAGAGCACCCGGCAGCCGGCAGCAGCGAGTGGTTCAGGCATCTAGTAGACGGGCTTCTGTTTCTCGAACGCCCACGAGCGCCAGTTGTCGCCGTGGTAGGGCGGCTCGGGGTTCCAGTTCCAGGGGCGGCCGTTGACCTTGCCGTCGGGCGGCAGGTACCCGTTGCCCACGAACAGCTCCTTGCTGCGGCTGATGATGTTCGGGATGGCGCAGCGCCGCAGCATAGCGTCTGGCCGCCACGGCTGCCGCGCGCAGCGCATGAGCTCGTCGATCCAGTGGTTGTACCCCACAGATTCCAGCCACTTGTTGCCGAACGCCATGCGCCCCAAGGCCGCCTCGTTTGGGCCCGGGCACGTCATGCCCAACGCCATGTCGGTGGCCGCTGACCAGTAGTAGCCCGACTCGAGATCGCTCATGCCCAGGCACACGCACGCGTACGTGTACCACAAGCCGTAGTTGCTGTTCTTGTCGCATTGGAACGGCTTCGTCAGGTCTCTGCTGGCGATCGCCTCCGCGCCCAGCTTCCCCCCGCCCAGCCCGCCGAGGCTCACCACAACCACCACCGCGCACAGCAGCGCCACGCGCGCGCTCTGCAGCCCCATGATAGCTGGGCCGACGCAAAGGCAACGGTACCACAAGCGGGAGATCTGGTAAGAAATTGTTGATTTCTGAGAGGGTGTGGATGAAGCTGTTTCGCAGAACCAAAATTTGAGGTAGGAGAGAGGAAAGCAGAACTCGCTGTCGAGTGATGGAATGATGGTGTCAGTGCTGGTTCTTATAGCTGAGGCCAGCCGGATTCATGTGTGTGTGAGTCAAAATGTCAATTTCTGGAATCGCAACCTCCGAACCGCACATGCAGCCAGTTGGTCAGCGGAGGTTGCGCGGTTGGGACGGTTGATCTTCTGTTTTGCTGCTTCATGGGTTCGCGTGGCGCTCGCTCTCTGCTATTGGCTGTTTGAGTTTCGCCTACAGTCGCACAGGTCGTAGTGTTACGCTGAGTGAAATGGCATACATGTACGAATACATAGCTTCTGAATAGTAGATATTGTTTGAATTCTCAACTTATATCGTACAGTGGTAGGACGATAGCGGGTCATTTTCAAGGCTTCGCCTCGCCAGCTGTTCGTTCTAGCGAGAGCTCACGAAAGTGGCACCACAGCACTCTCTCTCCGACGAAAGGCGGGAGGGAGACTACCAAGGCGCGGGGAATATCAAGGGGAAAAGAAAACAGGTGGCAGAAAGCAAGTAAGGCGGAGCAACGAAAACCAAGGCAGGTGAAACCAATCAGGCAGGTTCAGTGCTTGAATACTCGGATATCACAACGGGAAGCAGCCCGGTCAGGTTTCAGAAAAGAGTTATTGCGCTGGATCATAGCCTGTTGGCTAGCGATATCGCAGCACCACTGAGTGACGACGACGTCAACAGCCGGAGCAGTGTGTCTGACGTTCAACCTTTCTGGCAGCCGTATCTTCTGCCTCCAGCATTTTTGCACGCATCGCATATAAGTGTCACTGGTCGGACTCAGATTGTACTCTTTTCCTTCGCTTCCGCGTCGTTCGATCGCTATTGGCTCCGCGCCTTGCTGTTTTTAGGCTCATTGTCGATTTGAGCCTTGATATTGCCGTGGCCTGTAGTTCGCATGGGGCCGGACGACAAAGTGCGCGACACTCGGTCGCAGTCGCTTTCAGACGTTGCACGACCCATCCCGACTGCAGTCGCGCGATGTCTGGATCGTATGCGACATTCATTACAAGTTACCTTCAAGGATTTCGTCGCAGACGGTCGCCAGTGCAAAAACAGCGACGCTAGCGACGCAGCCGACGACAGCTGCGGGCCGATTCAGATTCGCTGCCGCGACGCGCAGCGCGATCAAATCGTCGCATTCTGTCGTGACCATGCGACCAACGGCCGCGCGGGCAGCTTATACGTTTGCGGCTGCCCGGGAACAGGAAAGACCTTGATGCTGTCGCAGGTGGCGAAGGAGGTGGCGACGTGGACGAACGCGGCCGGCGAGGTGAGCCCAGGAAATGCCGCGTCAGTGACGCGAGCACGCACGCAGCCTTTTGACTGCTCTTACAAGCATCATTTTTCTTCTTTCCGCAACACTGAGTCATCATCACTGCCCCTATCGCTCCGTCGCCTTCACACATTCGTTCACCCTTTACCGTTCATTCGCCTCTCACCCTGCTCCTGTCACTCCAAATTCAAATCACACCAAACACTCATTCGTCACCATGTGCCCGGCGTCCGTGCGTTCAACCCGGCATTCACCCTGTCCTCGGCAGCCCTTGTGTGTGCCGGTGTACGTCAACTGCATGGCACTCACCGACCCCGCCAGCCTCTTCCCCCAGGTGACGCCCCGCTCTTTCTCCACCCCGCATTCGCCCCCCGTTTGTAGTCTGCTGCTCCTCTCACGCGCTCATATACGCACTACTCCTGGTCTCTCTTTCTCAACCCCTCTTTCCGTTCAAAGCTCGCGAATTTTGTCGCCTTGTGCCTTCTTGAGCTCCCCACTTTCCCCATTTCTTCACTTCCCCTTCCCCTTCTCTCGTCTTGTGTCTTCCTCATTCCTCTTGTTGAGCCTCCTTCTATCCCTCCCCCTTCCCCCGTCCCACCGCTCCCCTCACTCCCCGCGCGCGCCTCAGATGGAGCGCGCCATAGAAGCAGCACAGGCTGCGCACCACACCTCCCCCTCTAACCACGGCGGGCGGAAGGGCGGGCGGCAGCGAGGGGGCACAGGACGAGCGCGGCCGAGCGAGGATGGCGAAGGGGCGAGAGAGGCCGTGTTGTCGCTGCTGCAGCAGGAGGTGCAGGAGGAGGAGGCGGAGCAAGCGGAGAGGATTGAGTCGCGGGTGGTTGTGGGCGAGGCTGCGAGGGATGCAAGTGAGGAGGCAGAGTCTTCAGGGGAGGACGATGACGTGGTTGAAGTGGTGACAGGGGACGCACGACAGGCAGGGGCCGAAGGTCATGCAGGGGACGCACGGCAGGCAGCGGACGCATGGCAAGCAGGAGCTACAGGACAGGCATGCGCTGCAGGGGCGCGCGCTGCAGGGAAGGGACGAGTGACGCGGGGGACAGGAGGTGGCAGAAGCGGGGAGAAGGGTGGCGCAGGAGCAAGGAGAGTGCTGCGGCTGAGGGAGGGAGAGGGGGGGAAGGGGCAGGTGGGCGGGAGAGCCAATGCTGGTGGTGACAAGAGTGGGAGGAAACCTATGATGTGAGTCAGCCCTCTCTCTTCCTCTGCATTTAGTCCCCTCGCCATTTAAGTCAGTTTTCTTGTCGTCCGAGTCAGCCCCCTCTCATCTGAGTCAATCCCCTCTCGGCATTAAAGTCAACCCCCTCGCTCTCTGAGTCAGCCCTCTCACCCTCCGAATGCCCTCAACGACCTTGGTCGTCATCCACAGAGATCGACTCATGGCAGCACGTTCATTGCTCATCTGCTGTCTGTGTCTCCCCAAACTATGCAATGTTCCCCTCGTGTGCATTGCGCGCTGTCTGTGAATGCTGTGGTTTCTGTGTTGTGTGTGGTGTGTGCTGTGTGGGTGGCGCGAGCATGGCATGTATCAGACTGGTGGTGGCGGACGAGGTGGATCAGCTGGTGAGGGGCAGAGACACCTCCGTACTCACCGACCTCTTCCTCCTGCCCTCCCTCCACGCCCACTCGCGCTGCATCCTCATCGGTCAGTCACTGCTGCTTTCTTAATTGGTCAGTCGATGCTGTATCCTCATTGCTCAGTGCTGCATCCTCGTTACATACAACTCAGGACCTCTCTCCAGTCCAGTGTAAAGCTCGAAACAACCTTCCAGTCAAAACCCCTCCATCCTGCACCCCGTGCCCCTGATCGCCCCTGGACACTCTCCCACCCAACAGGCATATCCAACTCCATTCATCTCATCGACTCTCTGCTGCCACACCTCTCCCGCCCCAACTCAATGTGCGCTTCCTATCCCCCATACCCGTCCTTTCACTCCCTCCCTTCCCTCTCTGCCCTCCTTTCCCTCCCTCCCTCCCTTCCCTCTCTGCCCTCCTTTCCCTCCCTCCCTCCCTTCCCTCTCTGCCCTCCTTTTCCTCCCTCCCTCCCTTCCCTCTCTGCCCTCCTTTTCCTCCCTCCCTCCCTTCCCTCTCTGCCCTCCTTTCCCTCCCTCCCTCCCTTCCCTCTCTGCCCTCCTTTTCCTCCCTCCCTCCCTTCCCTCTCTGCCCTCCTTTCCCTCCCTCCCTCCCTTCCCTCTCTGCCCTCCTTTCCCTCCCTCCCTCCCTTCCCTCTCTGCCCTCCTTTCCCTCCCTCCCTCCCTTCCCTCTCTGCCCTCCTTTTCCTCCCTCCCTCCCTTCCCTCTCTGCCCTCCTTTTCCTCCCTCCCTCCCTTCCCTCTCTGCCCTCCTTTCCTCCCTCCCTCCCTTCCCTCTCTGCCCTCCTTTTCCTCCCTCCCTCCCTTCCCTCTCTGCCCTCCTTTCCCTCCCTCCCTCCCTTCCCTCTCTGCCCTCCTTTCCCTCCCTCCCTCCCTTCCCTCTCTGCCCTCCTTTCCCTCCCTCCCTCCCTTCCCTCTCTGCCCTCCTTTCCCTCCCTCCCTCCCTTCCCTCTCTGCCCTCCTTTCCCTCCCTCCCTCCCTTCCCTCTCTGCCCTCCTTTCCCTCCCTCCCTCCCTTCCCTCTCTGCCCTCCTTTCCTCCCTCCCTCCCTTCCCTCTCTGCCCTCCTTTCCCTCCCTCCCTCCCTTCCCTCTCTGCCCTCCTTTCCCTCCCTCCCTCCCTTCCCTCTCTGCCCTCCTTTCCCTCCCTCCCTCCCTTCCCTCTCTGCCCTCCTTTCCCTCCCTCCCTCCCTTCCCTCTCTGCCCTCCTTTCCCTCCCTCCCTCCCTTCCCCTCTCTGCCCTCCTTTCCCTCCCTCCCTCCCTTCCCTCTCTGCCCTCCTTTCCCTCCCTCCCTCCCTTCCCTCTCTGCCCTCCTTTCCCTCCTCCCTCCCTTCCCTCTCTGCCCTCCTTTCCCTCCCTCCCTCCCTTCCCTCTCTGCCCTCCTTTCCCTCCCTCCCTCCCTTCCCTCTCTGCCCTCCTTTCCCTCCCTCCCTCCCTTCCCTCTCTGCCCTCCTTTCCCTCCCTCCCTCCCTTCCCTCTCTGCCCTCCTTTCCCTCCCTCCCTCCCTTCCCTCTCTGCCCTCCTTTCCCTCCCTCCCTCCCTTCCCTCTCTGCCCTCCTTTCCCTCCCTCCCTCCCTTCCCTCTCTGCCCTCCTTTCCCTCCCTCCCTCCCTTCCCTCTCTGCCCTCCTTTCCCTCCCTCCCTCCCTTCCTCTCTGCCCTCCTTTCCCTCCCTCCCTCCCTTCCCTCTCTGCCCTCCTTTCCCTCCCTCCCTCCCTTCCCTCTCTGCCCTCCTTTCCCTCCCTCCCTCCCTTCCCTCTCTGCCCTCCTTTCCCTCCCTCCCTCCCTTCCCTCTCTGCCCTCCTTTCCCTCCCTCCCTCCCTTCCCTCTCTGCCCTCCTTTCCCTCCCTCCCTCCCTTCCCTCTCTGCCCTCCTTTCCCTCCCTCCCTCCCTTCCCTCTCTGCCCTCCTTTCCCTCCCTCCCTCCCTTCCCTCTCTGCCCTCCTTTCCCTCCCTCCCTCCCTTCCCTCTCTGCCCTCCTTTCCTCCCTCCCTCCCTTCCCTCTCTGCCCTCCTTTCCCTCCCTCCCTCCCTTCCCTCTCTGCCCTCCTTTCCCTCCCTCCCTCCCTTCCCTCTCTGCCCTCCTTTCCCTCCCTCCCTCCCTTCCCTCTCTGCCCTCCTTTCCCTCCCTCCCTCCCTTCCCTCTCTGCCCTCCTTTCCCTCCCTCCCTCCCTTCCCTCTCTGCCCTCCTTTCCCTCCCTCCCTCCCTTCCCTCTCTGCCCTCCTTTCCCTCCCTCCCTCCCTTCCCTCTCTGCCCTCCTTTCCCTCCCTCCCTCCCTTCCCTCTCTGCCCTCCTTTCCCTCCCTCCCTCCTTCCCTCTCTGCCTCCTTCCCTCCTCCTCCCTTCCTCTGCCCTCCTTTCCCTCCCTCCCTCCCTTCCCTCTCTGCCCTCCTTTCCCTCCCTCCCTCCCTTCCCTCTCTGCCCTCCTTTCCCTCCCTCCCTCCCTTCCCTCTCTGCCCTCCTTTCCCTCCCACCCTCCTTACCCTTCCTCCCTTCCTCCCTTCCCTTCTACCCTACCCTCCCTCATACCTTCTTTTCGCTCCCTTTTCCAGCCTTCACTCTGCTGTGACCGTTCTGCTAATGTTCGTTGTCCCTCCAACTCACTCTTCTCCCCTCACCCACCCCACAATTCTCACTTCGCGTCTCACCGCCTCTCTTCTCCCTCCTGCCTCCTCTCAGGGGAGTGACAGCACGCCCAACACTCCTGCCGTTCCCAGCATACGATCGCAATCAAATCTACGAGATTCTCTCCCAAAGGCTCCAGGTATGCACCAGTTGCCATGGCTACCTGTTCGCCATACTGCCATGCTCACCTGCTCGCCAGACCACACATATCCCCCAGTCCTCTCATCGTCATCCTGCCTCTGTGTGCCTCACTCACCCTTTGCTTCCCCGCCCCTCTCTCCATGCTTCGCTCACCTCCCTGCTGCCGCGCCCCTCTGTGTGTGTTCCACCCGGGCAGGCTGCTGGAGGGATGCCAGTCGGTGCAGCAGCGCGAGGGGCAGCGGTGGCGGGAGGGGCACGGGAGAGCGCATGCACGGCGACTTTTGAGTCGACTCAAAAGGCACGGGAGAGCGCATGCACGGCGACTTTTGAGTCGACTCAAAAGGCACGGGAGAGCGCATGCACGGCGTTGTCGTTTGACCCCATGGCGCTGCATCTCTGCGCTCGGGTGCGTTGCTCTCTGTGTCTCTCTAGTTGAAAGCCAGGCTAGTTAGGGGCAGCAGCGCGTGGGGCAGCAGAAGTGGAGGGGGGAGGGGCATGGGAGAGCGTGTGCACGTCCTTCTCCTTTGACCCCATGGCGCTGCACTCGGGTGTGTTGCTCTCTCCCACTCGCTCTTACACGAGCCAAGTCATGTCGCCATGGTGTTGTGTGTCTCTCTTTCATCCATCATCCTCCTCCCGCCCCTTTCCCAGATTGCCAACGACCATTCTTGCTACTCTCTCCTCTCTCTGACGATATTTCTCCTGTCCTCTCCCCTTCTGTCCTCTCCCCTCCTGTCCTCTCCCCTCCTGTCCTTTCCCCTCCTGTCCTCTCCTCTTCTATCCTTTCTTCCTTCCGTCCTTGGCCATTTTGTGTGTGCCTGTGCGTGCGTGCCCGTCTGTGCATGTGCATGCCTGTGTGTGCGTGTGTGAGCAGAAAGTGGCAGCGGCGTCAGGGGACATGCGCAAGGCGCTTGACATCACCAGGTCAGCCAAGCGCTCCATCATTCCCCTTCCATGCACTCTCGCCGTACGCCCGTTCACTCTCTGCCCCTTCACCCTACGCCCCTTCACTCTCATCATACACCCCACCCTACGCCCCTTCACCATAGCCAGAAACTGCCGTCCTGAACAGCCTTTGGTTGCAGTCATAGCCGCCCTGTCTCTTCTCATTACACACTCGCCCTCTCTTCCCCTCTAACCTCTTCTTCCCTCACTCTCCCCACTTACTCTGTTCCTACTTACCATCTCTTTCCTCACCTTCTCCCGCCCTGCTCTCTCTCCCCCCGCCGTGACTCCCCCCTGTGCGCGCAGAATGGCAGTGGATGTGCTCGAGGCAGAGATCCAGGCGCAGCTGAGGGAGGCACACATGGGGGAGGTGGATGTGAGGGAGGCAGATACTAGGGAAGCCCTGCCTGGTGCAGGCTCACCTGCTGACAGCACTGTTGGGGCGACAGGGGACGGCAGGAGTGGCAAGCGGGCGGCAGAGGGGGAGGCAGTGGGGCAGGCGACGGGCAAGAGGCAGCGAGGGGGGGCCGTGGCGGAGGCGGTGTCCCTGCAGGTGCAGGTGCATCACATGGCACAGGCCCTCTCCCGCTCCTTCGCCTCCTCCACTGTCGATTGCATTCGCTCGCTGCCGCTGCACCAGCAGGTACCAGTGCGCGCTGCACCAGCAGGTACCAGTGCGCGCTGCACCAGCAGGTACCAGTGCGCGCTGCACCAGCAGGTACCAGTGCGCGCTGCACCAGCAGGTACCAGTGCGCGCTGCACCAGCAGGTACCAGTGCGCGCTGCACCAGCAGGTACCAGTGCGCGCTGCACCAGCAGGTACCAGTGCGCGCTGCACCAGCAGGTACCAGTGCGCGCTGCACCAGCAGGTACCAGTGCGCGCTGCACCAGCAGGTACCAGTGCGCGCTGCACCAGCAGGTAGCAGTGCGGCCTGTGTGTTGTGAGTCGCCTTGAAACACATTTCACATATCACTGTTTCAGTATCAACCGCTGATGCATCACATGTGCCAATCATCCCATGCAACAATCATCCCATGTGCCCTACCTGTCCCATACTGCTCCCACACTTCCTCCACTGCCCCTGTACCTCACAGATGGTGTTGGTGGCGTGTGTGCAGCAGCACCAGCAGCACAGGGCACGGCACCGCTTCATCACCCGAGCCAAGCCTCCCTCCACCACCAACGACTTCCTCCTCTCGCAGGTACTGCCCCTCGGGTGCCTGCTCCCTAGTGCCTTCCCTCGGTTACTTTCACTGGTACTTCCTCAGGGGCTTGAAGCGCTCTCAGCTCCCCGGGTGCTTGTGCCCATGGTCCCTGATGCAGATCCCTGATGCACACTTGAGCCATGATCTGCATTCGATCAAGGCACTCTTCATTGCTCACCTTTCCCACACTGGCCCCTCCCCTTGAAACACCTCCCACATCGTCCTCCTGTCCCCTCCCGCCCCGCACTGGCCCCTCCCCCTACCCCGCTGTCAGCTGTACAGCATGTATGCAGGCTTGGCACGCTCGCTGCACGTGCCGGCCGTCACACTCAACGAGGTCACTGACATGTGTGCCATACTGCACGGCCAGGTGCGGTGCGGTGCGGTGGTAAGGGTGGGATGGGGCATACTGCAGGGGCTGGTGGGGTGGTTAGTGACTATGAGGCACTGCAATATGTGGAACACTTTTGGCTCTTGGACACTCATTGTTGGCACATGCATCCTTCCACTCGAGCCACATCGCACTTGCTGTGCTCTGAGGAACATTCACTAGGCCTTACATTCACATGTACCTCCAACTCTCTCATGCGTGTCATGTCCTGTGTGACATGCCTGCCTGCCAGGCTGTGTTGCAAGTAGTGGGTGGGGGAAGGAACGCTGCACGGTCCCAAGCTAAATGCAAAGTAATGCTCAAAGCCAGTGCCGCCGACGTCATCTTTGCCCTCCAGGTTTGTCACACTTTGGTTCCTCTTCCTTTGACATCTCTTGTTTCCTACGCCTGCTTTTACTGATTTCTGGCCGTGGTTTTGTTATGAGGTGCAGGGAGTGCGCATATTCAAGCAAGTCCTGAGCGACGTAGCAGCAGATTTAGAAACGTAATCCATGGTAAAACAAATCCAACGTAATTTGTATGTTTTATTATAGTTTGAGTGCGTCATTTCAGATTGCCAAACCCCACCTCAAATAGGAACTCAGTAGCGGATAAATGTCAACCTCGCAAGTGTATCCCAATTCTTGATTCTTGGTTCCCTCCCATGTAGTCGCTGCATGGCCTGGAATTCATCACCAACTGCTATTTGCCTCCTCGCGTCGCCCGTGTCAGCTTCTTGCTTCGCGTTGTCCCACGCTGCGTGCTTCCCGCCCCTCCCTCCGCACTTCACTGATTCTAGTTTCCGTTTCCCCTTACCTCTCTTTCGTCCTTGCATTTCCTCTTGGGTTCTATATTCCGCATTACCTGAGTTTAAAGAGTTCTAAATTTCGCGCTTCTCCCAGCTTTCACCTGTTTCCGAGCCGCGCGCGCACGGCAGCAGGCAGCCATGGAAGCGTCGCACGAGGCGCTTGCGAAGGGCAAGGTGATTGGCGACGTGCTCGACGACTTTGTGCCGTCGCTCGACATCAAGGTATCGCGTCGGGCAGAGCTGTCGCAGAGCAAGCCAGGATTGACGGCGTTGAAGCTGGCCTTCTGACCTCATAATACGCGTGGTGTTGGCAGGTGAAGTACGGTGGCAGGGAGGTGCGAAACGGTGACGAGCTAACGCCCAGCGAGGCAGCAGAAGCGCCATACGTCGAGCTGGCGGGGCGACACGAGAACGGGGACCTCTACACACTCGTGAGTCAACGCCGGTCAACGCCAGTCAACGCCTCACTCATGAATCAACGCCAACACACCTTACTGCAAAGCCGCACTAAACAGCCCCCTCCCCATGCCTCCCCATCACTTCCCACTCCTCATTCCGTCATCCGTGTTCTCCCCAACGCTTCACATCCCCTCCCCTTGCTTCCCCCCTCACCCCAGGTAATGTCAGACCCAGACGCGCCCAGCCCATGCGCGCACACGATAGCTTCCGCGCCCCCCTTCTTGCCACTCCTTCCATAACACCTTCCCCCGCTCCTCCTCTTCCCCCCCTTCGTCCCGCCTCCCCTCTCCCATCTTTCCCCTCGCCCCCAGGTAATGTCGGACCCAGACGCGCCCAGCCCAGACAACCCCGTGGCGGCCGAGTGGCTGCACTGGTGAGACTGGGGGGAAGGAGAGGAAGAGCGGGGGGAAGGGAAGGGGAGGGGGGAGTGGCTGAGGGAAGTGGGGTCGACAGGAGTAGGGAAGGCTGGGGGGTTTGATTGCTGGGGAGGTGGGAGCAGGGACAGCATCCCTACACTACCAAGTAACCTCATTCGTAAAAACACCAAGTCTTCCCCTGTGTGTGTGTGTGCGTGCGTGCAGGTTGGTGGTGAACATACCAGGCGCAGCAACGCTCCCACACAGCAGCGCAGGAGACTTAGTGATGTGCTACAAGGGCCCCTCCCCGCCCATGGGCGTGCACCGCTACGTACTCTCTCTCTTCCGCCAGCCACACCACCTCACCACCGACGCACCGGCTGCGCGCAAGGGCTTCAAGACGCGCCAGTTTGCGCAAGAGTTTGGGCTGGGGAAGCCCGTGACTGCGCTGTTCTTTCGTGCGCGGAAGGAGGAGTGAGTAGGTGGTAGGAGCAAGGAGGCGTGAGCGGGAGTGAGGGTTGAGGGTGAGGAGGAGTGGGGAGTGAGGAGGAGGCGTGAAGCGAGGATGAGGGGCGAAATGTTCTACATAGGCAGTGTGAAACATGTTGCACATGTAGCATGAAATTGCGTGGCATGGCTGGGATGAGGAGGGACACGCACATGCTCTGTGTTCAGAGACACTATAATACATGTATAGTCCATCAATGTACATAGTATAATGAAAGTAATTTCTGTACATCTGCCAGGCCACTTGTTGCCTCTTCCCCCTGCACCTCACAACACGAGCATGACCACTGCCCTATTGCACATCGATCTGCTTGCACTGAGAGGCCACACAGCAAGACCACATAGCAAAGGCCGCTGGCTCAGGCATGTGAGTGTAAAGAAGCACAACCAAGTCTGTGTGTATGGTAAAACCCATACCATACCGTACCAAGCGTTTATGGTAAGGCACCAAGCCTGTGACGCAGCAAGGCTGTGCTGGGTGCAGCAGGCGCGGAGAAAGGGAGCGGGTTGCGTGTCCCACCCTGACAGCAGCCCAAGCAGGTGAGTGCTCGCCCTCACTGCAAGGTCAGCAGCCACAGTTTACACGAGTGCCAGCAGGCAGAGCTCCCAGCCATTCAGCGACTCGGAGCTGGGAACCGACTTGATGGCCGCCTGTACTGCTTGTTGTGGCGCTGCTGCTGGTGGTGCTGCAGCGACTGATACCACTAGGTGGTTGCCTCCTCTGCACGGGCAGCAGTCACAGCCTGCAAGTATGCAAGTCAGAGGTCACAGCTCCCAGCCATTCAGAGACTCGGAGCTGGGAACCGACTTGATGGCCGCCTGTGGTGGTGGTGGTGGCGCTGCTACTGCTGGTGGTGCAGCAGCGACTGATACCACTAAACCTTTCTTTTTCTTCTTCCCCTTCCTTGCTCGCACTGTTGGCACCTCAGCTGCTGCTGTCGCTGCTGCCTTGCCGCTGCCACCACCACCACCACCACCACCACCACCACTGCTGCCACTGAAGCTGTTGCTGCTAGCAGCACTAGCTGCCTTGATGCCACCACTTGTTGCTGCACTTGCTCCATCCTTCTCCATACTCCCTCCTGCACCTGCTACACACGCCTCACCACTGCTCACAGTGCCTCTGTAACCAGCTGAGACACGTGCGGCAGGTGACGCACCTGGGACAGGTGCGGCAGGTGATGCGGAGGAGGCAGGTATGGCAGGGGACGCTGAGACAGGAGTGGCCGGTTGCTCTAAAAGAAACCGCTGCCTCGTAATGTCTCCCACCACAAAGTGGTGCTCCCAGGAGGCAGGTATGGCAGGTGACGCTGAGACAGGAGTGGCCGGTGACGCAGCTAAGAGAGATTCGGCAGGTGAAGCAGCTGAATCAGGTTCGGCAAGTGATGCAGCTGGGGGAGGTTCGTCAGGTAAAGCAGCTGAGAGAGGTTCGGGAGGTGAAGCATCTGAGACAGGTTCGGCTATTGCTGCATCCCCAATGCCTTCTCCACTGCTGTCGTCACCACTTCCAGCAACGACACCACTGCCACCATTGCTGTCCTCGCTCCCACCACTCCTGATAGTGCCTTGCATCTCTGCACCTTCTTTCTCCTGCCTTTCAATCTCTTGCTTCTCATGCTCCTGCTCCCTCCCCTCCACCTGCCTCAAACCTGCTCCTCCTTCACACACCACCGCCCCTCCCTCCTCACGCTGTGCTCCTCCCGTACAAACCACTGAACCTCCACAGCCGCTTCTCCTCCCCCTCTCCTCGTCTCCATCCCCTCCATCCTTCACCCCAGCAACCACCTGTTCCATCTCCCTCACCCCACTCACCCTGCACTGTGCAGACCCGTCCACGCCAGAGCTACACACTGCAACTCCCGTATCCTCATCCCCCTCCAGTTCTACGCTCAACACCCCCTCGACCACCACTACTTCTGACACCACTTGTGACACCTTTTCTGACACCTCTTTTGACACTGACACCACTTCTGACGCCTCATTTAAGGCTGCTTCTGACACTGGCACTGGTTCTGACACCACATCTGACACCACATCTGACACCACATCTGACACCGCTTCCGACTCCCTTGGACCCCTATCCGCCAGCGCCTGCTGTTGCTCCACCTCGTTTGGCCCATGCTCCCTGCCACACTCCTGCTCCTGCTGCTCCGCCTGCCTTTGCTGCCCCTGCTGCCCCTGCTGCTCCTGCTGCTCCTGCTGCTCCTGCTGCTCCTGCTGCTCCTGCTGCTCCTGCTGCTCCTGCTGCCCTACCCCCCCCCCCTCTTCTGCCACTCGCTCCTTCCCCACCTGCTCCTTCCCCACCTGCTCCTCCCCTGCTCGTTGTTCCTGTACCGTTTCCTCCTGCTCCTCCCACTTCTGCTCGCCCCTGTCTGCCCCTCCTTCGCCTTCCATCTCCCCCTCGCTGCCGCGCACGAGCAAGCCACAGCTGCTGCTGGGAAAGGAGTCCCCAGGAGCGTGAGTAGGGGGAGCAGGTGGGGACGGACGAGGAGGAGAGGGAGACAATGGTGCATTGGGGGACGGGTGGGGAGACGGCCGAGGGTGGAACCCGGGGGCACAGGAGGGCGGTGGTTGGTGGTGCGGGTTAAAGAGGACGGTCATAGTGGGGGAGAGGGGCGATGGGCGGGAAGGCAGGGGTTGGGAATGGGGCCCCAGGGGCTGGGAGGAGCGGGATAAGGCACCTCTTGCTGCTGCTGCTGCTGCTGCTGCTGCTGCTGCTGCTGGTGATGCTGCTGGTGGTGTTGCTGCTGATGCTGATGCTGATGCTGCTTCTGCTGGTGGCGATGCTGCTAATGATGATAAACGGGGGGTGGAGGAGGAGGCAAGGTGGTGTGGCTGTGGGTGGGTGGGGCGGGGCGAGGGGGCATGAGAGGAGGAGCCGGGAGTGTTGCTGTGAGGCAGAGGGGCGGATGCTAGTGGATGGTACGGTGGTGGGAACGGTGGAATGGTGGTGCGGGGGTGGCACCGTGGTGGGGAGGGTGGGAGCACGAGGCAGGACGGAACACGAGACTCCCGTGATCACAGGAACACGGAATGGAGGGGTGGGATGGGGGCGATACAAAAAGAGGTCGGAGAAGGAACGGGGGGGGTGGAGTTGATTATGAGAGTTGCAAAAAGCATCAATGCTGCAGCTTACCTGATCGGCAGTGAAGTGGGAGTGAGAGGGAACGAGGAGAGAATGGCGGAAGAATGAGAAGAGAGAATGGCGGAAGAATGAGAAGAGAGAAGCGAATCAGCACTGGGGCACAACCACCCTGGCCTTCATACTCGTTATAGAGTGTACAATGGGAATTTCACTGCGAGGCCGGCTACATCAGTCAGTGTAACGGTCACCTAAGAGTTGCCTACCCTACAGTAATCCTGCACGCCCAACTGCTGCTGCTGCCTCCACTTCCTAATTGCTGCTGCCGCTCCTTGCCCCAGCACTAACCCTCCCCACAAGCCCTTCCCTCCCAGACGGATCATTGGTCAGAGCTTGGGGCTTTGGGGCTTTGGGGCTTTGAGGCTTGCGAGATGCGGCTTGTAAGAAGATGCCTTGTGCCTAGGCAACCGTGCGAGCCCCCGCCTACACTATCCGCCTTGTGTGCAGAGAAGCATGCGCTCAGAACAGAAAGGGTGGCTTCACTTGGCTTGGGCTGGGCTGCAGAGCTCTGAGGCGGGTCTTTCAAGGCCGGTAGGCGCTTGTGTGCGTGGATTAGCATCCTGCAGGAGAGCACACAGGCTGTTGGTGCCGCCCTTGTCCAGATTCAATGCACGGACAACTCGTGCACAACTCACAGCGTATGCACAGCAGCATGTAGTGGGGAGACACAGAGAGAGGAAGAGGAGGGGTCGGGGAGGGAGAGTGATTGGCGAGGATAAGAGGTCGGGGTGGAGGAAGACGAGAGGGCGAGTGAGATAAAGGGGCAGCAGGGGCAGGAGGGAGGGCGGGTCACTCACCTAGGGTGTGCGTTTGGGCAGCAAGCCACGGGTCGTCGAATGCAAACACTCCCTCTGCCTCGCCTCTCTCGCCGACCCGCCTCCCACTCATGTCAAACCCCATCCGCCCCTCTTCGCGCTCCTCCTCCCTTGCTTCCTCTATCGCCCCGGGTCCAGGCACCGATAATCCAGTTGCTTCACTGCTGGGTCCCCCTTCAGCCCCCCAGCTGTCTGCCCTCCAATCAGCATCATTTGCCATGCCCCCCTCCTCATCCACACCACCCAACATCCCTCCACCCACACCAATCACAACCCCCATCCCTACTTCCCCTCCTGCTGCTCCTACTGCTCCCCCCTGCTCCACCGCCATCCACTCCCCACCAACCCCTTCCTGCCCTCCCCCACCGCCCCCCACCTCCCCCAACTGCTGACGCCCTCTGCAGCCCCCCATGGGCTGCTCCAGCGCCACGCCCAGACCTGTCCGCGCCTCCTGTGCTACCTGCCCCCTCGCCCTGCTCCCTGCGCCCACCCAATTGCTGCTGCTGCCGCTAATACTACCCAGGGGGCCAGGAGCAGTAGCAGTACCGGGGAAATCTCCAGGTAGCTCTACTTGCCTCCCGTGCATGGCCTCTACTCCCTGCAATCCCTCCTTCCCTTGCACTCCTGCTTCGGACACTGCTATCTCTCCTGCTGCGAGAGGAGCGGCTGTGGCTGTGGTTGCAGGAGAGGGTGAGAGTGAATGTGGGAGCCGCGGAGCAGCAACACCAGCAGCAGTAGCGGCGGTGGCGGAGTGGCGGAGCAGGCCACCCAGGGCGGAGGTGCGTCTGGGGGCATGCACGGCACCACTGCCATGCTCCCCGCCCACATGCACTCCCATGTGCACCCCCACGTGCGGCTGTGTCTGCGGGCCGATGCCTTCATGCGTGTGATACGCGTGCTGCTGCTGCTGGGCGCCACCCCATCCCTGCTGTCCCCCATGCACCACCTGCTGTTGCTGCTGCTGCTGCTGCTCCACTCGTGCCTGAGGAAAGCCCTCGAGTGTGGGCGGACTGGCAGAGGACGGGAAGGCAGGCGGGGAGGCCCCAGTGCCAAGGGGAGCGGGAGGGGGCACAGCGATGCCTGCAATGCTGGCAGGGGGTGCCTCACTGCCAACCGCCTGTAGCTGCATGTATGGGTCCTTTGACTGGAGCTCAACCGGTGGGTCCTCTGGTTGTAGCCGCACCTGCAGGGCACGAAGCATTCCCAGCAGCACGCAGTAACAGGCAGGATGGAAAAAGATTGCTCAGTTGTGAGACAATGAGCCACACTTAGCATGGTTGGCGCAACAAAACCAGGGAGGTTGTGGAGAACAGCACTGCGCAATCAGACCCTCGTGGCTACATTCAAACCGCTTCTAACAGTTTGCAACATCTCACTGGAAAAATCTACATGAGAGCAGAGCTGCAGACAAGACAGACGAATAGTACTCACATAGGAGCGCGCCCACAGGGGCGTCGCTCTGCTGGTGGACAGCTGCACCTCCGCGTGCATTAGATACGCCCTCTGCTGTGCCTCCTCCGCCGCCCTCTGCCTCACTTCCTCTGACGCTGAGCACACAGCATCTGCAGAAGCACCACCAGCGGCAGCAGGAGCAGCGACAGCACCACCAGCACTGCCAGCAGCAGCAGCAGCAGCAGCAGCAGCAGCAGCATGAGCACTAGCACTGTGACCATCAAGCCACGTGCTGTCAACGGGGATGGGGTCATCACGGTCGCTCCAGCTCACACGGCGACACACGTCCCACACCTCACCCGCCTCTGCTGCCACCTTCACCACCACCTCCCCCACTGCGCTGCCCCTGGCGCTCCCCACCCCCATGCCCCTCACCCCCGCGGCAGCGGCAGCAGAGCGCAGCGCGAGGGCGGGGAGAGAGGGCAGGCGCTCAAAGGAGCGCCCCCCCTGCACCGACGAGTCGGATTGAGCCATGGGGGGCACGGTGGGGAAGGGGGAGAATGGGGGGAACGCGGGGGCGGAAGCCATAGCGCCCATGCCAGGGTGCATGCCCGCTGCTCTGCTATGGGAAGCCATGGCGTGAGGCGGCATGTACATGCCTCTGGGGTCGTATGTATGGCTCGTGTACTGGTCGTGTGGGTGGTGCGTGTACGAGTGGGGTGTGTGCATGGGGCTGCTGTGGGTGTGAGAGGGGGAGGAGGACGAGGAGGAGGAGGGGTCAGCAGCAGCAGCGAAGGGAGTGAGGTGGTACCGTATCAGGTGACCCAAGGGGGAAAACACCCACAGCTGCTCTGCTATTGGCTGCGGAGCCCAGTCCGGCTGCCCGAAAAACTGCCCGGAAGCTACCTGGTGGTGCCGCTGCTGGTGGTGCGTAACAGCCCCACTCCCTCCCATCATCCCAAAACCCCTAGCACCTGCCACCCCCCCAAAGTGGAAAGCAGCAGCAACGGCGCCTGGGATCTCCCCCCCTAACCCAGCCGCTGCTGCCGCCACGCCTGTCACGTTCCCCCGCCACCCACTGTTGGCATTCCGAATGCGCCCCACTGATGTGAGTGCCACTGGCGCGGGGACGCGTGGGGGAACGCGGGGAGGCGCGGGGGACGCGCGCAGGGGGACGTGCGCGGACCACCAGGGGCGGGGGGGGGGCGGGGGAAGGAGGGAGGGGGTGTGGGTATACACAGGGTGGAGGAGGGCGGGCGAGGGCGCGGAGGGGAGGTGAGTGGCGGGGCCGACGGGGCCTCCAAAGGGGGAGATGGCGAAGAGGTGTGTGGTGCCTCGTGCTGATGACACGGCCACCCACCTGGCATCGTGTGAAATGACCGCACTCTGTATCACCTGTGAGTCACGCATGGGGGTGGGCGGTTGGGTGGGAAGACGGGCAGGCAGACAGGCAGACATGCATTCGGGCAGGAGGTCAGGTGGGCGGGCAGGTAAGCGTGCAGCGGCAGGGAGAAGGGGGCGTAAGGGGGAAGGTGCGAATGAGGAGTGATGCGGAGGAGAAGTCCCATGCACAAGGCATGGGGTTGAACAAACCTGTAACCATGCATGCATACAGGGGGGTGGTGTGTACTCGGCATAGAGTGCTTCCTTACAGCGTTAGTGAGGCCGCGGTGAAGCCTATACAAATGCACATAGGAGCAGCCGTCTGGGGGCGACTGCAGCGGGGAAGGGAAGGACGGATAGCAGAGAAGAGACGGAATGAACGGGACAGGAAAAACGCAAACGGGCAGAAGTAGGAGCTAGAGTTACGCACGCATCGAACAACAAGGAGGACAACGCCACGGCTGGCTAGCAGAGCACTCAGCAGCGTGACAGGGTCCATGAGCGCAAGCAGAGCGACAGGATTCATGAGCAAAAGTAGAGCAGGTACATGGGGAGCACAGGGTGAGTGAGAGGCAGTGACGCGGCATGGGAGTGAGTACCTGGGGGTGTGAGTCGAGGAGAGGTGCGTTGGCGGCAGGGGAGTGGAGGGGCGAGGGGGCGGGGGTGAGGCGGAAGACGTTGAGGGAGTGGCCGGCGTGCGAGGCGGAGAGCAGCAGCGTGCCCGAGCTGTCAAACGCCAGCAGTGCTATGGCGCTGCCGTGCGCCTTGAAGTGCGCTATCACTGCTCGAGTCGCCACATCCCGCACCATCACCTGTGACCACATGCACACACACACACACACACACACACATGCATATGCCATGTGTGGGACGAGTGAGGGTGGGTGGGGTGGAGGAAATGGGATGCGGTGGCAAATGCGGATTATGAGGTGAGTGTGAAGCCGTTTCCTGCTCGCACATGTCATGTGAGTGGGGAGGGAGTGTGGGGTGGGGTGGCATGTGAGGGGGAAAAAGAGGGTCGGGCGGGCAGCACTCACGTTGCCGGCATGGCCGGGGTCAGCAGGTGGGAGCTGCGGTGGTGAAGGAGAGTGCATGGCTGCTGCCCTGGGACTGGCGTCCGCATACCCATCTGTTGACGACCCCGATACCGATGCTCCCGAGACTACTGACGCTCCAGAGACGGATGCGTGTGGTGAGTCAGGCGCAAACATGTGCTCCGGGCTCCTGCTGCTCCAGGGGGACCCCGACCCTGCTGCAACACCTGAAGCACCTGACGCGCTGGAAACACCTGAGCCGCCGGCGGACTCCGCCACCATGTCCGTCCAATACTTGCCGACCGCGCGCACCCCCAGGTCCCCCAGGGCGGCTATCCCCCCCGCCAGCTGCTTCCCTGACTCTTTAGCATAATGCGCCACCAGTGCCGCCCCTGCGCCCGCTGCAGCAGCAGCAGCCGCAGAGGAGGATGCGGAGGAGGGGAGGGGGGCGGAGGCGGGGGGGGCGAGGGGCTGGTTGGAGGGGTAGGCGAGCCAGCGCGCGCCCAGGGCGAGGGCGCCGTGGGGGGACGTGCGGGCGATGCCGGGGAGGGCGGAGGGGAGGGGGTGCGGGTGCGTGAGCACACTGAAGGCCGTTCGTAGTGACGGTAGGTCGTATATGTACACCTGATGGGGTGAGGGGCGAGGGGTGAAGGGGGAGGGGGAAGGGGAAAGGGGAAAGGGGAAGGGTTGGTGGGGGAGACGGGTGGCAAGAATGGGGCAGAGGGATGGAGGAGGGGGGTGAATGGGGGGGAAGGAGAGGGGCGGAGGGGGGATTGTACAGCACCATCACAGCCACTGCGAGTCGCCACTCACCTGTTCCGTGACAGCCACTGCCAGCACGCTGCGGTTGCTCCTCACGCCCATCACCCGCCCCGCCACTGTAATCGAGTGCACATACGAACCGCTCCGCATCGAGTAGAACCGCAGCACGCTCTGCTCGCCGCCCGTTTCGTCTCCGCACGCGTACGGCTCGTCCACCCCGTCCGCCACGTCAGCGTACGGTTCATCGTCGTCCAGGTACGGAAATTGCGCGGACAAGCTTGGAGATTCCAAGGCTGCCGCCGAGAGAGGCGGAGGCGCGGCGGCAGCGGGGCACACGACGCAGAGCACGGGATGCGCGTCGTGGAGCGGACTATCCGGGGGGGTTCTAGCGACGTAAGGGATGGGATGCAACGAGTCCGCCGGGCCGTCGCGTCGCGAGACGAGCTCTTGCACGGCGTGTGGTTGGCTCACGTCCCACACGTGGAAGCCCGTGGTGTACGCCACGAGGAGCACGTGGCGCGTGCCGGACACGGGCACGGACGCGCCGCGGGAGGACCCCTGCTCCAACCACCCGAAACCCGCCCATGTGACCTGCGGCGTGGCGGGACAGCGGAAGGAAACACCCCACTTGGCAACAGAGGCGATTTCTTCCGTTCGAACTCGAGCAATTGATCGAATACCAAGCCGCGGCGTTAAAAGAAACTTGTGCGCTGTCTGTTTCGACACGTTTATACGCAGAATAAAAATTCCTATCATTCTTTTGTTATTTTTGTTGTTTTTTTTTTCGTTGTGTTCACCACGCATCAGCGCGTACCTGCTCCTTGTTCTGGCTGTCGTCGCCCGGCGCCATGGCCGCCGCGACCGACGCTGAGGCGGAGCGGACGGCGGAGGCGACGAGGGAGTCGGCGGAGGAGGAGACATGGCGGAGGTAGCTGGAGATGGCGCGGAACGACGGCAGCAGCCCCGCCGACACACTCCGCACGCTCGGCAGGCTGCGCCCCTTGTGCGCGTTCTGCACCTGCTGGGGGGACGTCCCCCCTGCGCGCCCTTCCCCGCGCCTCATGATACTGCGCGTGCACCTGCCGACGCTAACGCTGCTACGCGCGGTCGTGGTCGTGGCATGCAGCCCACGTGGCAGTACCCCAGCGGAGTACTAACGCGCACGACTTCACTGTCGGCTGAGTGTATAGCAATCACGAGTCGAGGTTACGATTCGTTAGAGTGAGGAATGGTCAATCCATAACGGAGATATTTACAGAGGCTAACAGGAGCCCGAAGCTTGAGTGTATAGTCGACACAATTGAATAGAATGCGCGAGTTAGCGTGCCACTTACAGTCCAAAGGCTGCTCTGCTTCTGAGAAGGCTATTTCTATCGGTGGATAAAAGGAGCCAGTGGAGCCGCCTACGCACCTAGACTTAGTGCCCAGTGCTTGGAGCAGATAAGCTACGCCACGTCACACAAGCAGCTCTTTCGAGTGATTCATGGATGTGTAATTGCGGATTAACGCCATGTTTTCTTCACAACCTCAAATCAAACCGCTTGCGTTATGCTCTCATGCCATGTGGTGTGGAATCAGTGATATGATCCTGCAACCGTGACAAAACGCGCAGAAACGTATTGAAAGCCTTTGTCACGCTCCACCCACGTCACATTTCCTGCCATGAAATGTCTTCGCAGCCATCAGTGTGACCCTCCCCGAGCTCCATCAGCCGCACGCCTTCAGCTTGACACCAGCGAACCAGAATCGAGGGTGCACCAACGCCGATTGCATCAGTCTTGGTTACGAACTTCACTGACCAATCGGAGCCCGTTTGGGCTTGTCAGTGCTAGCCAATCGTAGCGCACACCGTCACTTTTCCATCCATCCAACATCATGGCGGGAGGGACAAGCGTCTGACATTCCTCATCCGCCACGTGCTCAATCTCGCATTGACCTCGCCTAAAAACGAGAGGCTCGACCTGCTAATATCGCGAACATAGCACAACAGGTGGTAACCCTACGAAACGCCCAAACCTGACTCTGGGGTTTACGTCATCAATGGGTCGGGCTTGGGTGTCAGCGCATGACCCCACGCCCACGCCAGCACCGCTTACCTGTAGCCAGCCCCACCTCGTGGTTGCTGTGGCTCAGCTGATTGGTGTGATGCAACTCTCATGCCTGATTGGTAAAAAAAAGGGAATTTCGATTCTGGGAGGCAGTTGTCTTCGTCATGGTGTGACTCATCTCGCACATGGTATTCTTGGATGGGTCGAGAAAACGTTTAGGGTATGACACTACGCACTCTTGATACGGTTAGCTCTTGTCACCTCTTTGAACCGCTACTCACCAGGCTAATCAATTAATAATGGCCTCCTGACGGAGCTTGGTAGTTTTTAAAATATTTATATATTTTGTTTTAGATAAGTTGTCATCCGGGTGCTTGGTCTAGTGGTATGATTCTCGCTTTGGGTGCGAGAGGCCGCGAGTTCGATTCTCGCAGTACCCCGTTTTCGTCTTGGGATACTCTTTTTGTTGCATCCGCTTTTGCGTCCATGACTTATCAGCCTGACAAAAACGTCACTTCCAGTATCGGTCGCTGCGCGGTAGGAGTGTGAGAACTAATCGACGGATGGAAATGCTGAAGCTGTCACCTATTCTCCAACTTTGCTGACACTAGCATTACTCGAGGGTTCCGTTATTCACCCTTGATAGAAGCACGTCGAATGTCGTTCCGCACATCCGCAATCAGTACCTGACTGACCGCAACCCTCTGCAATGGCCTTCGATTACGGCGTGGCTATTGGCTTGGAGGCGAGGGGCGTGTGGCGCGAGTGGCTGGGGGAAGCGGATCACGCGCTGCTTGCGCCGTGGCTGCGCGACCCAGGCACATGGGCGGAGTTCGCCGCTGGCGCGGGTGAGTGCGGGGGAATGCGCGGGAGCGTGAGGGGGCGCGCACGCGTGTTGCGTTGTCTCAAAGCATAGACGCACTCTCGCGTGAGGGGTCGTGCGCGCCGCGTGCGCTTTTGTGCCCTTCTCCTCACCTCTCGCTCAGGTCGCGTCGCCGTTGCCCGCATTCCGCGCTCCCAAACCGCCGCCATTTCTTGCCTTCCCCACTCAAAAACGCGCCATCTTATCTCCTCCCACCCGCCACCCAATCCCTTCCCCGGTTTCCCGCCTCCGCCATGCGCGTCCCTGTGTTCCCCGCAGGCGCGGATGTCTCCCCCGCCATGCTCCGCGTGCAGCTGCGCGCGCGCTCGCTGCTTCTGGGTCGCGCCGTGGGGGAGGCGTGCGGAAAGGCGCAGGGGGAGGCTTGGGGGGAGACGGCGGAGGGCGGGTTGGCGCGGAGGATGGGGGGGAGGGTCGCGGAGGGGAATCCGCTGATGGACGATGACGTGTACGCGTCAGTAGATGATGACGTGTACCCGTGCCTGGATGATGACGTGGACGAATGGCATGCCATGCTGTCGGCCGCCCAGCCGTCCGCCCACTGCATGGCGGTGCTGCGCGCCATCCGCCAGCAGGAGGGCCCTCTCAGCGCCGCCATCATCCGCAGGTGCTGCTGCTGCGCTGCTGTGCTGTTTTGCTGTGCCGTCCCATGCCACTGCTCACATTTACCATGCTGCCACATGCCACTTCCATACCATCTGTGCCACCCAGATCTCACCACCACATGCCTTTAGCTCTAAGCCCTGGCATGCCATACCATCCTGTGCCAGCTGTGCCACCCACATTGCACCACGTGGCTATAGCTCTCAACTCTCTCTTGGCCACTCCCGTTCCCCACGCTCCCACTGTCCTCTTTCCCCTTCCTGCTCCCCCCATATTGCGCCAGGGTGGGTTTGGGCGCACCTCACACCGCATCCCAGGACGCTGACCCGCCCCCCCCTTCTTCCCCCGCCTTCCCCTCACTCGGGGGAGAGGGGGAAGCAGAGGGGAACGGGGAAGGGGAGTGGGGAGGCGGAGAAGGGAGGGGTGGGGGGGAGGCGGGGAGGCGGGAGGAGAGGCAGCGGCGGCGGCGGCAGTGGCGGCTGCTGCATGCTGTGAAGCGCGCCAAGCACTCCTGCAAGCCCTTCCGCGAGCGGGCGGCGCTCGTGCGCACAGCGGCCGGCATGGCTCGATTCGTTCAGCAGCAGCAGCGGCAGCAGCAGAAGAAGAATGAGCGGAGGGAGGGAGGAGTGGAAGGAGAGGAGGGAGAAGGGGACGGTGACGCGGAGGGTGCGTGGGAGAGGGAGAGCCAAGGCGTGTGCCCTGACGACTGGGACATGGATGCATTGGCTAATGCCGTGCCTGACCCTGTGGTGGCCTCTGCCCGCCCCCCCTGGCACCTGCACTGCCCCTGGCGCATGCAGGGGGGCACTCACAGGGGCGCGGGTTGGGGTGCGGGTGGGGGGAGAAAAGTGGGATGGCACTCATCGGGCGTGAGTGCAGGGATGGGAGGGCGGGGAGATGGGGAAGAGCGCACGCAGGCAGAGCAGCAGCGACAGCCGGAGGAGGAGCAGCAGGGAGAGGAGCGGGCGAGGGCGCGGCTGAAGGCATGCATGGCGGCGGCGCTGCAGCAGATGGGGTGTGAGGGCGCGGCGGACAGCGCCCTGGCCGTGCTCACCGACGCCCTCTCCCACCGCCTCTCCCGCATGGGCCGCTCCCTGCGGGCCTGCTTAGACCGCTGTGACCTGCTGCACCTCGCTGCTGTGGGCGTGGGGGGTGTGGGGGGCGTGGGGGGAGGCGTGGGGGGAGGTGTGGAGGGTGTGGGGGACGGGGTTGTGATAGGAGATGGGGAGAGGGCGGAGGAGGGGGAGGAGCGGCGGCAGCAGGCGATGCAGATGGCAGCAGCAGAGATGATGCTGTCTGGGGCTGATTCTCGTATCGGGTATGCTCTTATGGGGTATGCTCTTACGGGGTATGCTCTAACGGGGTATGCTCATATTGATATGCTCTTATCTTGTATGCTGTGCATGTGGTGTGCTCGTATCATGACTCTTCCTCTCCCTCTGTCCAGTGCCCATCTACTTGCTGCTCCCAGCACCACTCATCTCTCGGCCAAATCTTGATAAAGCCCCACTCCCTCAACCTTACTCCACGCCTCTCCTCGCTCCCATGCCCCACCCCGCCGCATGCCCTCCCTCTCTCAGCACGCCAGCATCGCTGGCCGCGTTCCTGCGCTGCCCCTCACAGCCCACGCGCCCGCCCCTACCGCCAGCGGCCGTGGCTGCCTTTGCTGCGTCGCTCGGCCTGCCCCACGCCCCCACTGCTGCAACCACGGATATGGCTGGGCCGGGTGGGACCGGTGCTGCAGGTGCTGTGGGTGGGATGGGTGCCATGGGATCAATGGGAGGAATGGGAGGCATGGGAGGGATGGGGGGCATGGGCAGTGGTGGTGGTATGGTTGGTGGCGGAATGGATGGGTTGGGGGGGGCAGGTGCGATGGCTGGACTCGGGGGGATGAGCGCGGTGGGGGGGATGGGGGGAATGGGGGGTTTTGGGGCTGTAGGGGGTATGGAGGGGATGGGGGGAATGGGGGGCATGAGTGGGATGGGGGAGATGGGGGGGAGTGAGTCGGTGGCAGCAGCACTGGCGGCAGCGGCAGCAGCTGTGGCTGCAGCAGCAGCAGGGGGCCTCACTGGTGCTGCTGGCATGGGGGCGGGTGGGGGGCTGGGAGCAGGCGGGGGAATGGGGGCAGGAGGGGGGATGAACATGGGCATGGGGGCTGTGGGGGAAGGCATGGGGGCACTTGTCAGGGGAGTAGGCGGAATGGGTGGAGCAATAAGGAGGACAAGTGCGGGAAGGGGGGAAATGGTAGGCGATGGGATAGATGGGTTAGGAGGGATGGGAGGAGGGATGGGAGGAGGAGGGATGGGAGAAGGAGGGATGGGAGAAGGAGGGATGGGAGGAGCAGGAGGGATGGGAGGAGGAGGGATGGGAGGAGGAGGGATGGGAGGAGCAGGAGGGGTGGGAGGAGGAGGGATGGGAGGAGGAGGAGGAGGAGGAGGAGGGGGAGGGATGGGAGGGGGGGGGAGGAGGGACGGGAGGAGGAGGGATGGGAGGAGGAGGAGGGACGGGAGGAGGAGGGATGGGAGGAGGAGG